AAAATTAAACTTTATTTTCACTAACCTTTGTTTATTTTTTTTTGTAATCCTATGGATTTAATTTTATGCATTTAATTTTATCCGTTATTCTCATTTTGAGAAGGGGTCCATAGGCTTCACCAGGCTAAGGAGACCATGACACACAAAAAAATTAAGAAGTCCTTTTTTTTTAAACCCTTAGGGCACAGAAATTTACAAGTGAAAGGAAGATGACAACTGCTTTGCCTGATCACAGTCTAAGGCTCACTTTGTAGGAGTCTGTGCATATGCCCTCCCTCCAATGCACTGTAATCTCATTTAATATGTAGCTTGAGCCCCCAGTCAGTTTGCACTGGCAAAATCCAAATGGGTTTTATGAACCCTCAATACTTTAAATCTAGTTCTCTTCCAGGTTGAGATTATCCTACTCCTGTTGTTCCTGATCTTACCACTAGCATTCAAATAAGAATTGGCATAGATTTGGTCAATGTCCAAGCCTTTTGGCTAAGTTCCAAAATATGGGATGCACTGTAGTTAGGAGTGGGGCACTTGCTCTGTGTCCTGAAATCAGTATATCTAGATCTATTATCTTTAATACCCCAAAAGAGCCATTTCTCACAGGTTGTTTCTGACAAGTCCTTGAAGATTTCCAGAACTACTATGAACAGTAGCAGGAATTTTGGTAAATTAAAACACACCTTACCATGATGGAAAGAATATTAAACCAGGAGTCAGTAAATGTGAATTCAAGTAGGACTTGGTGTAAGGGAAAACTTCTTAATAATTAATCTCCCAAAGTGGAAAGGGCTGCCTCACGAGGTAGTATTGGTTCTCTCTTTCTGGAGGTTTTCAAGCAAAAACTAGATGACCTCTTGTCTTCTATGTCATAGAGAATATTCTTGTCCAAATATGGATTGGATTAGTTAGCTGTCCCTTCCTACTCTAAAATCCTAGGGTCTTTTTGAACACGGCCTCAAATAATGCAAGATTATTTGACAGAGATGCTTGGAAGGTCATGGACAGATGGCTACAAATCACTAGATGGTCTTATTATGTAGACAGAATGATATAGCATTAAGAGCCCTGAATTTGGAGTCAGAAAACTTGGGTTCACATGCTGCCTTTGCTACTCATTACCTCCACTTGGCTTCAGTTTCTTTATTGATAAAATGACTGAAGAATTTGGACTATTTACCTTCCTGCTCTAAATTCTATGACCCTACAATCCGGTCCCTCTCAGTGCAAAATGGATTCCAAGTTGTGTCTTAGTAAGAATGGATCATGTTGAGCCACTCGTATCCTTTCCTCTAGGTCCCTTGTAACACTGATGTTGATGAAGGATCAATCTGCACCTGGGGGGAAAGCCTTTGTCCTGTGTATGAAGTTAGGAGAACCATGTGAGCTTCGAAACTTATTTGTACAGTGTTCAAAAGTAGCAATTTCATTCTACACAGCTCAGTGGAAGCTGAGCTGTCCAATCCATATTTGGACAAGAATATTCTCTATGACATAGAAGACAAGAGGTCATCTAGTTTTTGCTTGAAAACCTCCAGAAAGAGAGAACCAATACTACCTCGTGAGTCATCAAGGCAGAAGATTAATCCAAAGCCTTTCATCATACAAAAAAGCCCAGCCTTGGCCAAAGGGAACCAAGTCCTAACGGGAGTAGAGACTCTTGAATTAGGAGCTAAAGGAGCACAACCAAAATCAGCAGTTTTGGCATCTGAGACAAGCAGCAGGAAACATGCCTTCAACTAAACTTTTTAAATGATATGAAAACAATGCAGGAAGGAATTGTTGTGATCTGAAAGGTTCAGAGACCCCTCAACGACCGAAATACAGAACAGGGTCATCTGGAATGAATTCACAGACTCAAGCATCGTTTGAGTCAAGCTGGCAAAGATTTATTGTTACACTTTTCAGCGGACAAGGATTCTTAAGGAACCTGCAAGAGACTGAGGATGGAGCCAGGGTTTATATGGAAAAGGGCATGGGAAAGGAATGCCAGGGGTACTGATGAGGTAATCTAAAGATCCAGGTGTCTTTGGGAGCTATGGATAGCGAAGTGTAGGGAGTATACCAGACAGGGAGGGAGCTGTCAGAGGCATGGATCTTGGGAACCTGGCGGGAGGAAGAGTCCCTGGGCCAGCCAGGGACAAAAATCCTTGGGCCAGGCACCCCTCTCTCTGTCCTGATGAGAAGATGCATTCTGCCAACAAGAGAAACTCTTCTCACAGGACAGGAACCTAACTAAGAAATTGGGAGGCTTCCAGAGACATGATCTTAGGGCTGGGAGCAACCTCTCACTCTCTCACCCAGCTTTGTGTAACTGCACCAGGGAGAGACACAAGTGTCTTGTTGGGGCCCACTCATGAGTAATTGCTAGGCACAGTTTCCTTGGGCTGGGAGGGAAACTGCCAGAGATAGTGTTTCTGAGGCTAGGGAGAAATATGATCTTGGAATTGGGGTCCCAGTACAAGCACCCAAGCACCCCATCAGAATGAAGACTAATTCGGGTGACCAGGAGAGTAAATTAGTTACTATAGTAACTCACCCTTAGGTTATTAACCATGCTGCTATGTAATAGCTTCCTATTTTAACTGTGCTTGCTAACTCAATATTTAGCCCAATTGTTTCTATGATACATGTTGTCAACATATAAATGTAATAATTTTTGTTTTAAATTTTTATATTTTATTTTTCCAATTACATGTAAAAACAATTTTAAACATTCATTTAAATTTTGAGTTCTAAATCCTCTTTCTCCCTTCCCTTTCCCCTCCCTGAGAAAGCAAGCAATTTGATATAAATTATATGTGCAGTCATGCAAAATAAATTTCCATATTAGCTATGTTGCAAAAAAAAATAAAGAAAAATAAAGAAAGTATTTTTAAAAGTATGCTTTAATCTGCATTTAGACTCCATCAGTTCTTTCTCTGGAGGTAGACAGCCTTTTTTAATCATAAGTCCTTCAGAATTGTCTTGGATCCTTGTGTTGCTGAGGAATGTAATACATTTTTCAAATGTACAATCTTTTAAAATTGTTGAACCTTCTAAATTTCAGTGTCCTAGGACAAAGCTCTGATCACCTCTCCCTAGGTCTGGCTCAGCAAAGGAGAATTTTGTATGCAGGTCATGTAGGTAGCCTGAACTAATGCTTAGAGATTGGTGAGAGCAGGGCAGGGCAAGACTTGAAAGCAGAGGCAGCTAGGTGGCCCAGTGGATAGAGCACCGGCCCTGGATTCAGGAGGACCTGAGTTCAAATCCGGCCTCAGACACATAACACTTACTAGCTGTGTGACCCTGGGCAAGTCACTTAACCCCATTGCCTAGCCAAAAAAATAAAGAAATTAAAAATTAAAAAAAAAAAAAGACTTGAGAGCAAATGAGTCAAATCTTAACATTCCAAAATCCTGACCTTGCCTTTAATCAATGATCCCAGCACTGACTTTTTCTGGGGATGGCTTTTGAACCCTCTAGTAACATATCTATTCATGGCTTTGTTATTAGATTTTCTGAACTTGTGGTTCATAATCATATCTTATCAATTCTTCCCTCAGCATCTTCATTTGTAATGTTTACTTGGCTTTGTACCCCTAGTTTTGTCCCCAGGCTGCTCCACGTCTTCTCAGAGCAACATGGTCTAGTGGGGATAGCATAGGATCTAAAGGCACAGAATTAAGGCACTGGAAGAGAGGAAAAGGTTAAGTAGGCTGTTAGGTGCAGGCCTGAGTTAGGCAGATATTCTGATAGTTGAGGTTCAATGTTGGAATGAAATGAGGTACTCATAGGTCACTCAATAGATAGCAAAAGGAAGTTCATTTTAGCTATACCATGGAAAGGATACTCAACAAAGATACTCTTGTACATAACTTGAGTAGATATGGCTCCTCTATTTGGAAACATATGGAGTAACTACACAGCAGGGAGGGAGATCAACAATCAGTCCATTGCAGTAGTCAGGGCATGAGGTGATGAGGGCTTGCATTAGGGAGGCAGAAGCTCAGAGGGGAGAAGAAAGCATTTGCAAAGTGATTTATATGGGGATGGTGAGAATAAGGAGTTGAGAAAAGACTCCTAAGTTTCGAGCTTGGGTGATTGAGGGGATGGTACCCTCAAAAGTGATAGGGAAGTTAAGGAGAGAAGAGGGTTTGGGGGAACGGATTGAATTTGCATTTTTGGACATGTTGAATTTATATCCAGTTTGTGAGTCCAATAGATAGCTGGAAATGAGAAACTGTAGATGAGGAGAGAAGTTAGGGCTGGACAGATAGATCTGAAAATCATGTGCATAGAGATGATAGTTAAATCCATGAATGCTGATGAAATCAACATGTGAAAAAGTATAGAAGGAGAAGAGCATCCAGGACAGAACCTTGGGGAACTCCTTCTGTCAACAGGTGTGACCTGGACAAATGAGATCTAAGATGGTGGCATTACAATCTGCCCTGGTCAGACCACATCCAAAGCATTGTGTTCAGTTCTGGGCACCTTATTTAGCGAATAGTGAATAGACATTTATATAGCATCTATTATGTGTCATGTACTATGCTAAGCACTTTACAAGTATTATCTGATTTGACATTTTAGGAAGAACATCGGTGCGGGAAAAATAGTTATGTCAAGTGCTTTGCAGACCTTAAATGGATGTATGTGCCAAATATTATTAGGGACGCAACCAATAAAATGCTCAAGACGGGGATAAGGTGAAAAAAAATTAGGAAGGCTTAGCTTGGAGAAGAAAAGCCTAGGGGGAGAAGGGAATGGAATGCTGCAGTCCTCACCAGAAGACCGCGACACATCTCCGCCAGAGGAGGGCGCACGCGCCCCTCGCGCTCCTCCAATCCTCAAGCTTCGGCCTCTCAACTCCTCCCCTTTCCACTCCCGGGACCTGAAAGCCAATCAGCGCTTCAGTGACGTTAGTAGCGCCGCGCGCGACCCGAGCAGCCCACCTACCCCTCTCTCGTAGGCAGCCGTTGGTTGGAGCCCGAGTTTGACGTAGCCATGTAGGAAGGCGGGGAAGAGAGTCGGCGTGCCCGTCTGTGTTTACGTGCGTGCCTGCGCGCGCGTGCGCGACAGTTCCAGAGGACCGCCGCTCGGATACCGGGATGTCGGTGGCGTTTGTGCCAGAGCGGCTGAGGGGGAAGGCGGAAGTTAACCAGGAGACCATCCAGCGGGTAAGGCCTGCGCATGCGCCACCTGGAGTAGCTGAGCGTTGGCCCCGCTCCCTTCCTCTCCACAGGCGCTCCCCCCCACGTCCCGGCTGGAGCCCGGGACCTTGGAGCTGTGTGCGGGTCGCTGGACGTGCCGCTCCCGGCCTGGCCTCCCCTTTCCCCCTGTCCGCAGCTCCCACGACCATAATTACCCTTCCCCGCCGCTGGAAATGTCGGGGTCCCCGTGGGCTTCGTAGAGCCAGCCCGGGGGCCGAGGCAGCCTTTATTAAGCGCCTGCTGTGTGGTGGGTCAGGCGAAAGGACCAAAAATAAGGAAACAACCGCCCCTGCCCGCGAGGAGCTTACTGTCGTGCAGAGGGCGTGTCCCAGAAGCCCCCGTGCGGTTCTGGGCTTGTAAAGCCCTGGGCAGCTGGGTGGAGGCGGGCAGGTTGAGGGGAATTCTTCCTGGGGCCGGGGCCTTTGAGCCGAGCCTTGAAGGGAACGAGTGGTTCAGGGGTGGGGGCGAGGGTGGGGGACACCGAGGCCTGGGAAGGCGTGCACGGGGTCCTGTGCAATGAGGCCGAAAGGCAGGACCGGCCCGGCGGGGGGCCTTCCAGCGCCCGCCAGTTGGTCGTTTATTCTATTAGCGGGGAGGGGAGCAGACGAGGGACGCGCATCTCGAGTGGGGGGGCGCTGCTTGTGGCCGCAGGCTGCTATTGCGCATTAGTTCTGGGGTCCGGGGCCCGAGCTGGGTGGTAGGCGTGGGGCAGGAACTAGAGGTGGCGGCTTTTAGTGACTGATTGTAGGATGAGTGAGACGAGGGTGGAGAACCGTAGGGGCTTCATTCATGTTACTCCCCTCCTCTCCAGGTGCTCGGCTCCAGCTTAACACCAGCTTTGCTTCTCGGCTATCTCTTGTGTTCTCCTGCCTCCACTTGTTCCTCATGCCTGGGGACGGCCTCCTATCCTACCTCTTCTAAAACTAGAATTTCCGTCTCTTCCGTAAAGTCCATCTCAAATGCCACCTCTTCCAGGAAGCCTTCTCTCCTTCCTTCCTCTCTTTTCCTAATAACCTTCTCAGAACACTTTCAATTCCTTAAATACATTTTTCGTGTAGTACTGGGTGACATAATTTTCTGTGTTTGTGTTTTATTTCTCCTATTAGACTCTGAGTTCATGAGGATACACCAGGTCTTATCAGGGGTGAAGGGGCAGCACAAGTTTGTCTGTAGGGTTTTAGCCAATCCCCTATGCTCCATTTCCCCCCTTTTTATGATATATTTGGCTCATTTGCCATGGGTCTGAATTATGATTCCTGGTCAGACCCTGCCCCCATGAACTTAAAGCCCTGTGGGGAAATGAAACTGACATTAGCAATAGAAATGTGTAGGTCCAAATACTTGGGGCAGCCAAGGGGATCCTGAAGGCCCACTGTCACTGTTCTGAACATCATTGGTCCCAAGTTATGGTATCTCATTAGCTCTGCCTACACAGTTATTAGCTCAGTAGCCATGTTGGATAGCCTCAGTTTGTCTTCATTCTCTCACATCCATATACCAGGGAACGTGTCTTTGGAGAACAGGGAGCATGTCCATTAGGGGATTCAGGAGACTCTAAACATAGTACATATTTGTTAAACACGTCTTGTTGATGAAGGGAAGCATAGCGGGTACAATGGAAAGGATGCTGAATTTGTAAGCAGAGGTCTTGCTGCAAGTCCCAGCCCTACCACATTTTCTACCTTTGTGACCCTTGGGCAAAGCGCTTACCTCACTGGGACTCAATATCCTCATCTTTAATAGGAGAAGGCTGGAGTAGACGGCCTCTGAAGGCCCTTCTGGCTCTAAATCTATGATTCCACAAAGGGAGGCCCCAGCTGGTTGACATTTACAGAAGTCCAGGGATCAGAACTTGCAGTGCAAATGTGAAGACAGGTCAGGGAGAGCTATCTGAATACCCCTACTGTAGTAAAGCCAGGAAGAAAAAAAAATAAAGATGACTAGAAATGAGGTTCTTTGGAAGCTTGACCAAGAGGGATCCTGCTAAGCAAACCCTAAATGACTGCAAAGCCAACATGCTGGAGAGGAAAGTTTAAAGGTTCTGGGTTTTTTGAGACCGTAGAAACCTACTTTTTTAAAGGCCGTAAAGTCAGTGTCCTGATTGGAACATGGCTGTGAGACCCAGTTAAAGCATAAAGCAGGCCACCTGGGGTTCAGCACACAGGCTTTGCCACCACACCAGCAGAAAACTCTTTCCTTAGCTAAATTCAATTCAAATAATATGCCTTTTAAAGGCTCATAGGATTTAGAGCTGGACAGGACCTTGGAGATATCTAGTTCAGCTTCACTTTAGATAGATGAAAACAGGGTTAGAGGTCAGTGACTTTGCCCAAGGTCACAGAAGTCTTAAGGAGCAGGTATGGAATTTGAACCTGAGTCTTCCGAATTCAGGCCCAATGCTATTTAGCTACTTATGCTGTCCCACGCTTATCTCTCCAGCCACCTTTTTTGACCTCTCCTAAACATTTAATATTTTTGTAACTTGTATTAGTTATCTTTATCCAGATCATCAAACTTCTTATAAACAGCACTCCTCACATGTCAGTTTTTGTCTTTTTTTTTTAATCTTTGCCAGTACCTGCACACAGTAGGTGGTTAATCACTGTTCATTGAATGAAATCGAGTTCCATATATATATATATATATGCAGTCATTCTGATGTCTTTCAGTTGCTGGAGGAAAATGACCAGCTGATCCGGTGCATCGTGGAGTACCAGAACAAGGGGCGGGCTGCAGAGTGCACACAGTAAGTTGCCTTTAGGTCTTAATCAAACACTCCTAAGAAGGCAGGGAAGTAGGAGCCACTTTTAGGATCATAGATCTCATACGATCGTAGATGAGATCTTAGAGATCATCTAGGCAAACCCCCTCTTTTTACAATTGAGGAAACTGACACCGTGGAAAATCATCAAATGCCCAACATCACTCAGTATTCCTTATCTTCTGACTCCAAATCTAGTGTCCCTTCAATGAATGAATTCTTAGTGTGCCTGACCAACCACCTCAGACCCATCCCAGTTTGTGTGAGTGACTCAAATAAAATCTCTTCACCAGTTGCATTTCTTAGAAAAAACCTGAACTCAGAACCTGCTGAGGAGAGAGAGGTGTTCTAAGTAGCTGTGCGATGCTGAGCCGGTCACCTCCCGGTCACGTCTGGGTTTGTTTCCTCTGTGAAATGAAGGACTTGGACTCTTAGCGGTCTCTGAGGCTGCGTCCACTCTTCCCTGTGCCAGCTATACTTTCCCTTTAAAGGAGGTCATAGTTACCATCTGCAGCTCCCATATGTGTCAGGTTAGCTCCAGTGTGTCTTTTCCTCAATGTTATGAACTGTATTTTTTATTGTGTGGTGTATTCTAGGAGCGAACTGCTACTTTCTGCCCTTTGATTTAGCTTACGGATTTTTCTTCCATAGGTACCAGCATGTATTGCACAGAAATCTCATTTATTTGGCCACCATTGCAGATGCTAGCCCAGCAAACGCTCCCAAAACAGTGGATTGATTGATTAGTCCTTGCTTTTTGCCGTATTGTGAGTATTTATCCCTTCAAATAAGTGGAGCCATGACCTTTGCCAATGCCATTGTTGAAGTTGCACCTGGGAAACAGTACTTCAAGCCTGTTTTCAGTGGTGAAAGGTTCAAGCAAAACATTGAGCAACTGGATGTTAAATGTCACTTTTCATTACTCAGCACATCATTTTTCTGAATTACTGTCTTTAGGGGGGAAACCCCATCAGGATACCTTTTCAGAACTTACTTCTTGGGCTGTCGGCATAAAGGAGGCTGAGTGGGGACAGCAGGCGTGACACTTCTGGCAGTACCCTGTTTTGTATGTACATATGGATGTAATTGTTCCCAGCAATTGTTTATTAAAGTTATGGTTCTCTGAAAGTGTCTTGGTCTTCTTAAAAATCTCAGCGAAATAACACTTGTCTAAGATTGAAGGCTGTTGGGATGTGTGGAACCTTGTTTGCAATAAACATTCTATTCAGATAGCTAAAAAATTATGACCTGTTTGTCTAGCATGTTAAGTGTGAAAAGCATATTTCTCCCAACATGGGTTGAAACAAGTATGATCATTTCCCACCCTCCCACCCCCAGAAATAAGACAATCAAGCTTCAAGAGGTTGAGTCTTGGCTGCATTCCTAAAACTAGTGTTGGTAGCCATACCTACCATACTGCAATGTGTCATAGTTATTGATAAGTCCCCAGACATACATTTTAGTGATTCTGCCTGGGAATGTTCTAGACTGCTATTTGTGGTCACAGGAAGACCTAACTGGAGTAGGTAGGAGGAGTCTAATCTGAGTACCTGATAATTGGTTTTCTTTTAAGGACATGTAGATTTACTATTTTCAAGCACTAGATAGGGTGTCCCAAAAGTCTTAGGGTCATTTTAAGCCCTTGTAGCTGTATACCCTGTATGTGCTATATGTTGATTAAAGTCTTCTAGTCTCTTCTTTTGGAGTACTGGTGACCTGCCTTTTCAAAAGCTGTCAGAGGAACCCAAGCTCTGGCTGGTCTGACCAGCTGGAATGATTGCAGTGATTAACTGTGTTGTTTAGGGACCAACCTAGCTAGGTTTGGAGAGGCTCAACACCCAGGGATGGAGGGGTGGTGGGATTTTTTAGTAACAGCAGCCCAGAAAGCCTTCTTCTAAGTATAGTAAAGGAAATTATCTGCATCATCAGAAAGGATCTATACTGATAAAATAACTTTTTTGACATAAAAAGATATATGTTGTCAAGTAAAATAGTGGAAGTAGCTTAATGAAAGCATTCTAGTTCTCAAGAGGTCTTCACTGCACTAAAACAGTGTCAACTTCAAAGGCTTTCCGAAGCAGAAGAACCGCCCCAGTGGCCTCAGGGTGCTCTGATTGTTAAGCTCTGCATATCCTCGAGACCCCTCGGTGGAGCTCAGAGTGAATTTTCCAGAACTGATTTTCTATTACAAGCCATACTAGAACTGAGGGGCTCCCAAAAGGTCAGTACAAAGACATCAGTGGATCACCAACAGCAAACACACAGCATTTATGAGTTTGCAAGGATGATTTTATGTCCACCAGTAGGCTACTTAAAGATTTTTTTTTAAAGCCTTTTCTTTTTTCCCTGACATTTCCCCCACCTAACTTCTCACTCTCACTCAAACCCACCCCAGGACTTATCACATTCCCATCCCTCTTTCATCCTAGAAAAAATAGGTAACTTTATGGGAGATAAGATGATTCCTCTGTCACAAGAAGGGGTTATTCTATGATTTTATAATCTAAAGAGAGAATCTTACAGGCATCTAGTGCTGAAAGAAATCTTAGAGATCATTTACATTAACACCCTCATCTTGCAGATGACACCTTGAAATATGGCAAAGTGGAAAGAAGACTGGATGTAAGCAAAAAAGAGCTTTGCAGAGGAGAGATTTGTCCAAGGCTACGTGGTCAACTAATGGCAGAGTGGAGATCAGGACTCACGTCCTTTGACACCTAGTCCAGTGTTCTTTAGATGAAACCGTGCTACAATCATGTATTATGACCTAAGTATCCTCAGGGAAGACCCCCCCTAAATTCCTACCCAACTGCCATGACTCTCTTCACACCCTGAGCTGCTTGCATTTTCTAAAACTGAGAACCACTATCCAGGCTCCAGTAGATTATTAGAGCTACTAAGACACCCCTCACCTTTCTGGTGAACAAAAGACATTTCCAAACTCTGAACAGTGCACTAAATGTGGATGGGAAGTTGCCTGGCTTTTCTATTGATATATTTTTCACTGTGGGCTTTAACGAGATACTAGCATTGAAAATTTTGAACTCCCCTGGGAAGGTACCTTGTTTTCATAAATCTAAGGTGCTGTTATACTAAAAAGATTAATCTGATAATATTTGGCCTGGTGCCATTCTTATAGGGAAAAGCTAAAGAAATGAGAGAAAGCCAAGCAAACGCAACAATAAATTGGCCACATGGGCCTTATAGCAGAACAAATCTAGTTACAAAGGCTGAAATAGAGGACACTGGCCATTCATTCATGCATTCAACAAATAGGTGCCTGATGTGTGCAAAGTACTATGTCTGTGCTGGGTACCTACAAAGGTCAGCTAAAACACCATCCTTTCCCAGAGCTTACATTCCTCTAGGGGTATAAAACACCAATGCATGACTGTGAAATGCAATAATACATGATATAAAGTGCAGTACAGTGGAAAAAGTGCCCAATGTGGAGACTCAGGACCTGAGCTCAAATTCTAACTCTGCCTTTCACTACGTATGTGATCTTCATGTCACAACCTCCTCATGTATCCAGTAAGCACGCTAGATGACCTCTGAGATCCCTTCAATTCTAAACTGATTCTGTGACATTATGTCCATCAGCAAGGTATAAACCTAGGGAAGTCCGAGTCAAAAGAAGTCCATTCTGTGGTATCAGGGAAAGCTTCATAGAGAAGATCACATTTAAATGAGGCTTTCAAAGATTAATAGGAATTCTACAAAATAAGGAGAGGGGAGATATTGGAAGCCTAGGGAACAGTGTCAGGAAACAAAGAGGTGGGACAGCACAGGGCACATCTAATTTGGCTACAGCATAGAGTGTGTAGGGAGAGGAATTATGAGTAAAAGCTGGGATAGCAACAGATGGTAGAGGGCTTTGAAAGTCAGGCAAAGAAGTTTGCATTCTAATTTAGAGTAGAAAGGATAATATAGTCCAATCTTTTGTATTTCAAATGAGAAAACTCAGGTCCAGAGAAATTAAAAAATAAATAGGGTGGCAGTCTGGGACACATGTAACTGGTGGCTTAAGTTAACCCGCTCAGTCCCACAACACTAACCAGGGCCGTTGTGAACCAAGACTAGAGTAGACCTGGAGTAGTTTAAGTTAGCTTTGCCAACAGATGGATTGGTGAGGCAACTAGAGGGCTCAGGAAGACCTGAGTTCAAATCCGGCCTTAGACACTAGCTGTGTAACCCTGGGCAAGTCACTTAACCTCTGTTTGCCCTAGTCCACCAGAGAAGGAAATGACAAACCACTCCAGTATCTTTGCCAAGAAAACCCCACAGACAATTTTGACTTGCTCTGGTCCACGGGTTCAAGAAAAGCTGAACATGACTGAACAGCACAGGTGGATTGATCTGGGGCCCAGCTGTAGGTGCTTCAGGCAATGAATATTAAATGCCAGCTCTAGAACTCTGGAGGGGAGCTCCTAAGAACCCAGGGCACTTCCTTATGAATTATCAGACAGACAGATAGGTACAGATATTGGATAGATATCTGTATATAGCTAGACAGATAGATATCAATGACTTCTATTACAGTTTTGTTGATTGCTTTTACCTGGAATTATTGAATATCTTTGTTTTGGTTTGGTTTGGGCTTTTTTAAGCCTGGATCTTCCAAGCTCTCCCAGGCCTGAGAGGTCAGCAAGTTCAGCGGCCACTCACAGGCCATATCCCTCCACTGATTGGTGTGATTCAATTCCAACCTCATCCAGTTCATCCCTCCCTAGGCAGCCTCCCATTCCCACCCAATACCCATATTAATGTCAAATTTTAGCCCTACTGCAACTCAGAATTCTGAGCTCAAGAGATCTACCAGCCTCAGCCTCCCTAAGTATTGGAGATTACAAGTGAGCTCCTCCACACCTGTTGAATATGTTTTGATTAAAGAAATTGCATATCTTAACCCTCAGGCTCCCATGATTGGGAGAAAGGTCACTCAGGGTATTCAGACCTGGTCTTTCTGTCACTCAGTGATGTTTTTGAGCAAGAGGAGGGATGTGACTGAATCCCTGCATAAGGAAGATTAGTTTGGCACAGCATAGAGAGGGTGGGAAGAGAGATTATAGATAGCCATCTGGGCTTCAATTTCCTTTCCTGTAAAAAGGAGAGGATGGGGCTAGATTAACTCACAGTTCCCTTCCAACTCTGATCCAATCCTACTTAGGCTGCCTTTGTGTGTGTTATAAAAAGCACTTTCAAATCATAATATTGCTTTATGGGTTTTTTTAAGTCTGGGTTTATCTTTCTCGCCCAACCTGGAAATGCAAGGGCTACTAGTTGCCCTGAGCGTACCACTGATGAGCGCAAGAGTTTTGACTGCTTTGTTTCCTGCCTGAGCTAGTTTGCCCCTTCTTGGGTAACATAGTACTCCCCTCATCCTGGGGGAGGGGGTCCCCTGATTGATGCTGAACTTAGAACCCTGCTTCACGCCTTTCACATTCCTTCCAGTTCTTCACTATGACAAAAAGTGATGTTATAAATATCTTTGTTTATAGGGGAACTTTCCCTCTGACTTTGACCTGCTTGAGCTTAATGCTTACTAATGGTATCATTGGCTCAAAAGGTATGGGCAAGTGTGTGATTTTTTTTTTTTAAGTATGATTCCAAATTGATTTCCAAAATGGGCCATTTCACAGCAGCACCAATAGTAACTTAGTGTTAGTGACATCTTTTTCTTTATGCTTACTTCAAAGCATAAAGCATGTGAAACTTTGAAGAATCACAAGTATTTGGAGTGCCATAGTTGGGCCCCCTTGCCATAGTCTGTCAGTAAGGATATGCTAGGTACCTGTAATGTCTAAATCCGACACCTTTCCTCCACCTCAGATTCCTTCTCCTCAAGAGGCAGTATGAGGGTAGTGAAGAGCACCATGACTTAGTAGTTAAGGAGACTGAGGATCAAATTCTGCTCCTGCCACAAACTAACTTTGATTGAATGACTGAACTTCTCTGGGTTTCAGTTTCCTCAGTTCATCAAGTTGTAATGATTGTAATGATTAATCTTGGATTGGGGTTAGAAAAATCCTTCTGAGTATGTAATAAAAGAGATGATGTCAGAGAACCCTGGGAAAACTTGCAAGAACTAATGAAGAATGAAGTGGCCAAACCAGGAAAACAATTCA